GTCCTTGTCGCCGTCAGCAGAAGCTAAAAGGATGAGAGCTTCGTCAGAAACACCTCCTCTGAACACATCAGGACTGACCGATTACTCTTTTGTCAATCGTGGCTGCTCTGCCAGCTGAACTGCCCGTATCTGAAACTTCCCATTTTTATGTATTGTAAATTTTTGCTATTTCTAGTTGTACAACCAGACGCTTGAGAATGCGGCCCAGGATTATGCGAACACCTGCCCAAAAGGACTTTCACCTGTATCATCACGTGAGGGCACGGGCGAAATTTATCAGTCTCTTCCATCCAATACCTTGGCATTAATGGACGTTATAGAAGCGGTATAATTATTATAATTATATCATACTTCCAGTTGCTTTATCTATTTGTTTACATTTACAGGCATTAAAAGCATCCTGGCATCCAATCATGGTACATGGCTTTGACCCGAGTTTGGAATTTACAGATTTGACTCCACATCTAGCTAATGCACCACTTATGTTCACTCAAGTGAGTTTAAATCCAACCGAAATTGCTAATGTACGACGCCATACGGTAACATTCCCCACCGCTTTAGTATGGACTCCCTAGCATAAAAAGGCTATTGTCATATGATAGCTATAACGCTTATGACAAATAGTTCCCGTTCACGTTAATATCCCTGAGGGTGCAAGGGAACTCAGGTAAGGGAGTGTTTCAATAAGCAATTCTGGAACAATACCGAGAAACGATCACTAATTTTTGTTTCGAAGGCAGAGTCAGTAGTCTAGTGCCAAGTGGCGCACTACCACACTATGATCCGGGAATCCAATCTCAAATTGATGCTTGTCCGGACACGCATTCCATCATTACGTGATCGCCCAGTGGGTACCAGATCCATCCAAAAGCTTCCAAGTACACAGTTATAAATCTGTTCTGTATTTCAAGTCATGGTATAGACCTATACGCATTCGAAACAGGCTACGATTCTGAATGGGAGTCAAGTGCGGGGCGCGTGCCCAAATAGGATTGATCATAACTAGAGCTACAAATTCTTTACACATCAACATCGGTGTAGTGACTTAAGTTATCCATCCTCTCCTATCTCCACCATTTTGCCTTATGAGCTGTCAGATTCACCATTAGTGCTTTGTTGACAAAGTTGCTTTGATTGTTTATACTTCAATCGATAATGTTTACTGGTGGGATCAATCATTGGGGAATACTCCCCGTAACCTACTTACTGTTGAGATCGAAGAGGAGCTTGAGCGCGATTCTGGCCCGGACATAGGAACTGTTCCATACATGAGTCATTTTTTGTTCTTCCGGACGAATTCCGGATCTTTAGACGATTTCCGATCGGTTTAGCGATTAATTGACCTTAACAGGCTATGTTCACGCTCTTGTGCCAAAGGTACGATAGTCCGCTGCATGGCCCCGGCCCTTATCTGTGTCCTAGAGAAGGTGAATTTGGCCTGAATAGTAGAATTTGTTATTTCAGATGGCATGGGGTAGTACTTATTCAGTCGGCTGTGCTGCTACTCGCTGTTCGGATAACACTACCGTTATTTGTCGCTATAACCCAAGGTAATCAGTTTGTTTTGATCAAAGTTAACATAATTTTTGAAAAATTTGATTGACTGATTGGCCACTCGGCATGTCGCTGACGATTACCTTCGGTCAAGTTATGGGGTACTCATTTTACCAACTTGTGCACCTTACCCAACTTATGGTTCGACTCGGCTCACCAATTAAGATGTCAGTGTGGACGGCTCAGGCTATATCAGCACAATATTTTTTATACGGATAGATTTTTGCTTGCTAATCGTCATCTCATGATATTTTTGGTGAAATTAATTGAAAGGTTGTGAAGAACGTAATGCATTGAACTAATGGATGGAACAAGGTCTGTGAAGAGAACATGAGTTATTTAGTAGGATCATGAAGATGTGGAACAGTTGAGCTTCGCTTCTGACTTCTGACTTGGAGCATATCAGAGGGAGCTGGTGAACAGTGCTGATGATACACTCGAAATCTGCTATAGGCAACTGACTAATCGGCGTCAATCAGTCGCTTTAAGTTTGAAGATGTGATTGCCTGTTGATGAAAGGTCTGTCTAATATGTATGGATCTGAGAGCTTTCAAGATTACTAGTACCACACTTTAAATTTGCTATCGTGAAGGAGACTGAGGGCCACCCTTTTTTGATGCTAACGAAGCGTTAGGGTCCTATTGAACTTCATCCAGTTCTTTGTGGTACTTCTCAACAGCGATGATCTCGCTAGTTGTGGTAAATTCGTAGAAGACCGTAGTGTCTGCATGGGCATACCATCACACAAGTAGCAGGGTCTTCTTCGGAGCATTTTGGACTCCGACAAGAATGGCTCAGTAGTTCATCCTCACCCTTCCAATCAAAAGGATCCATCTCATCAGGTTTTCGGGGAAGCGGGGAAGCCTCCGCGGATTCTGAAAAGGTTTATTCGGTTCGGAACTCGGTTTTATTGAGTTGAAAAAAAGCAAAAAAACTTTTTTCTTTCGTCTGCAAAGGGTTGTCCCTGCTTTGGTTCAGAAATCGCTCACTGTGGTGGGTGGGGCAGCGCTCCTCATTTAACATAGGTTATCCTTTGGCGAATCACTCTTTCGATGAATACCCGAGCGTTGTCGTCCAGGGATCGGATCGTGAAATAATGCATTTTAATCGGCTAGTCTATCCAGCTGCTGGCAGTACGGGTCTGCTGTAAGGGTAACATGGCGGCTCAGGCTGCTTACCCCTATCACTGTCGCTTCGTTGTGGATGAACCCCTTGCAGTCCCACCAAACACGCATGACCTCCAACCGATAAAAGCCTGCTTTCGGCTGTGGCTCAGGCTGCTAACCCCTATCACTGTCGCTGGCGCTTGATGTTGACGTACAGATACTACTTCTCATCTCTCGTAACAATCGACCATAGCCACTCAATTGTACGCTTGTACGAGAGCAACTGATGGCCACATCGGCATGTCTCTGACGATCACGCTCGGTCATTTTATGGATTTCCCACTGCCCCAGCTTATGCACCTCAGCGTGTAGATGATGGAAACCACACCACAGATATATCTACTCCCTATTGTTTTGAAAACCTCTTCCGACGGCTGTGTTCGGAACAGCAATTCTTCCCTAGCT